GGTTATTAATGATTAAGCACTACTTAGGTTATTAATAGGGTAAAGCAAAGCAACAAAAAACATGTAATGATAAGAGGATTGAATATTTTTGTACTTAAATCATTTTTACAATTCCTTTATGGGGAGCTTATAAAAGGCCCACGTGCTTTTAAATTTACCCTGTTATTAGATCAAAAAGAAAGAAGAGAGAGAGAGAGAGAGAGAGAGAGAGAGGAGCGTATGGGACACATGGCTCGCGGCAATTGCTTGTGAGAGCGCTCTACTTGACCATGATGAGAGAGTTCATCAAAAGAAAATAGAAAAAAAATACAAGACCCACACATATCAATCTCTTTCGGAACTTGGGCCTCTCCTCTCAATTCATCGTCCACTCATTTTGATTTTCATTCAAGAGATTAGTGCAAATTATCATTACATCTTCAACGAAGAGTCGCGGTCGTTTATACGAAGAACACTAGAGAAAAAAATTGAAAAAGATGATGAATGGTAGCTGTGAGGTTAAAGATCCTTTCTTTCAACTTTGTTTGGGGAGGTATATAATGTCTCAGACACTAGACAGTAGATTGGTTGGTGTCAATCCTATGATGGTTATTGATAGACTAATAGGCATGTGGATGTGATTTGTCAGATAATAATAAATTTAGTTGATGATAGGATTGAAAAACGATCTTGTAACCAAATAAAAAAATAAAGGATTATTTTCGAATGCATCTTAGAAAGAATTTGAAGTCATGACTCCTTGTACGAGTGACAATGGAGGCATACGAGGAGATACAACACCTCTTGTTAGGGACCCCTATTGCCTTTAGTAACGCCAATATGTTGAGAGTACCAATAATTCCCTCATGGCCGACCAAGTTTTTATTATACACAAGTAATCAAGACGACATCGAACAAAATCTCTCTACCATCACATTCTGGGGATTGGAGCTTTGGCCCTCTCCTCTACCTGGTTAATCAATTTCATGAATAGAAATATATAAAACAAAACGATGATCATTAAGCACACAAGAGTGATCTATAAAGTGAAATGCAAATATTTATATATAGGTATAAGTGTCGAGCCAAGACAAATCCACATGACCAAAGGTTAATATTTTCATTCTGTCAATGGAGCCGAAAACTGACAACTTTAAGGCCTAATGGGAGGATAAAGAAGGAAGGAGTGAGATTTCTTTTCTCTTCTTCTTTTTGAAAATAACAAGGGGCTATATAGTCTATGGGAGGGGTGTGTGTGTATATATTATTGCTTTGTGGGGGTTTCTTTTTTAAAAGTTTGTATTTTTTTTTATAAAGAGGGGGTTTTAAGAGAGGTATTTAGCAATTGAAACTTTTACATAGGGTTCCACAAGGTCGGTCTTTTTTGGGTCGTCTTGCCCTTTGATGACTGCCTGTGGGACAAATATATATCACCCCTCCACTTCCCCTACCTTTCTTTACGTATTATCATTCTCATATTCTTTCCAACACTATTGAAATAACCTTAAACAGCTCTTGGTAGCCTTAATAGTTGTTGATAGTAAAATGCATATCGCAATGGCAATAAATGATTCATCCTTTTTGATTTTGACATAAAATCATAAAATCGGTGATTCTGTGTATATTGAAAGAGAAAATGAACGGGCTGGATAAGATAATGAACAATAGTTTTAGAATTTGAGTAGGAGGGAGATTAAAAATTCTAGGGAGAGAGCCCCTTCAATTTTACATAAAAAATTATGTACGAGCCCTTAATGTTCGTGTTAAACTTAAGGTGATGACTGTTATTTATAGGTCGATAAAGTAAATAAATCTGACCCTCAAGTAATAAACTTTATTGGTGAAGAGTTGACATCGGTCAAGTCAAAAGACTACAGTGTTCCATGGTATATAGATTCTATAGGTCTCTTAAAACTTCGAAGATCCCGAAAAACAAAGAACTATTAGTAGAAAATCATATTAACACCTCGATATATTGATAAGATGGACTGTGTTAAGTCAACAAGCCCAACTATACAAGTGCTTAGTATTTATATCTAATACTTTATGACATGATGAATATAAATTTGAAATGTGGCATCTTATATGTTGTCTTTCGGCTTCGAATCGTCCATATATAAGATAAAACATGGACTAACGTAAGCAGGGCTGCCTTGCTTGAACCGATACGTCGTTTTTGGCGGGAGATTTCGCCATCAAGAAAGAGACCGATGCAAATCGCAATTTGTGAATGTTTTGTCTGCGACCAGTGTTGGCTCCCACCACTCCATCAATGATTTTTAAAGGTTTGAAGTTAGATAAGATGGCTCGATCCACATGTCATGCAATTCCCATGTCCACGTGTCTATGAAAAAAATAAACAGATGAACTCATTTAGTTTAAGTTTAATTTTGATATCTCATTCTCAAAAGTTTAACAGACCCGTTGTAACATTCATTGATGATATGTCATTATTTTACAATAACACGTCAACAATTCTGTTAAGTTTTTAACGATGACTTAGGGTTCATATATTTGAGAGTTTTTATAATGAAATATGAACACATCTTAAAAAGATTGTTTTTATTTTTATTTTTATAATAATAAAAAGAGATTGGCCGGCTAAGCTAAGGCCCACACGGTTTATTGTTAATATATTTCAACTTAATCAGCTTCATAAAGTTGAAAATTTAAGGAATAGGATTGGATATAGTTAGGTTTGGGTCACTCCATAGAGAAAGACAATTATCTCGGGGTAAATCGAGTCGAAATACATTGAATTCCCTGAACGAAGACGAATGGGCCACTTTATTACAAGAACGGATATAAACTGAACAATATATGACCCTCATTATTATCAAAAAGCTGCCGAGCATCACGGAGATGAAAGCCTAATGTTGAAATATCAGCTTCAGCACGATTGGCTTCGTTAGCGAGCATAGCAAAGTCAGCTTCAAAGATCACTTGTTGCCAAGAACCATCCCTTAGTAGGCGGAGACCGACAATAAAAGCATGAATCTCAGCAGGACTTACTTCTTCACGACCGGGATTAGCCGATGCAAGACCTCCCAAATCTTCCTGAATGAATGACGAGTAACCACTCCTATCGCAGTCAACCGAGGAATCACGAGCAACTTCTTTGCATTGTTATTTTTCCAACAATACAGATCGTACCTTCATTCGTTAATTAGCCATTCATTTATATACTTTAACATACAAAAATAAAGTTGGTTCTTTTAATTAATTAGATTGTTCAAGGTAAAAATGTTCCATTTACCAACAACCAGTTGATCTAGTGGGATGAGACACTATGTCCCTTAAGCAAGGTCAAGGGTTCGAATACCGACGTTTGCGAATGGAGCAAACTGGGTTGAGAAGGTTGCCCTTATCTCTGCAGTACCCGATCTAGATTAATCTGTCGATAGATCAGATATCAATGATTAATTCAAAAAATTATTCTATTTGGAATCTATATTGTCATTTTCTTGGGTATATAGAGGTCTAAAAAAAGACAAAAGATGTTTGTATTTATTTTGTGTAATATTTTCAATATCCAAAACAAGAAGCAACGAGAGAAGTTTCCTAGTAACATCTAAATGGAATTTATATGCTTCACATGATCAAACTAACTAACAAAATATGACCATATTCCCATATGCAATGGGGTGATGTAAAGTAGTAGGCTGCCCCCAACGTCAGGTTGAGAGCAACTTCCGTGAAAAACCTCCCGCAGTCATAATTATAAATTGCGTATTCAGTACCTAAACTATCAATTTTAGTCTATTTTAGTATTTTAATTTTTAATTTTTTTTCAAAATCATATTTAATATTTAGTTTTTGTTTTATTTTAGTAACCCGCAATTAAAAATTTAACGCGCTTAGTACCTAAACTTTTAATTTTTTAGAATTTAACATTAAGTTTTTAACGGGTGTACTATAATGAAACAAAAACTAAACTTTAAATATGGTTTTAGTTTAGGTACTAAAACAGATAAAAATTAATAGTTTAAGTACTAAATACGTAATTTATCCAAAAACTAATCGTGTCAGAAAATTGGCAACATGGCAAAGAGTTCACGTGGACTACACTACCCAATGAAGACCTGCAACGTTGACCGACACATCGGCTTTAAATCCAATAAACGCACGCGTTTGCTTCACGTGAATGTCTTGCGCCTGGTAATCGTTTACAATTTTGAAAATTACCCTCTAAAATTAGAAAACGAATGAACTTAAATGGAAAATATAATAATTTTTTTAAAAGTGTGGGAAAGATGAAATTCATGCATGTCCTCTAAAATCATCACAATTGATAATTATCAAAGGATAAACTATATATTTAGTACTTAAATTATTAATTTTAGTTCATTTTACTACCTAATTTCACTTTTTTCAAAACAGTACCTAACGTTTAATTGTTTTTTCATTTGAGCACCCACTGTTAAAAACTCAACTCGTTTAATGCTTAAATTATTAGTTTTGACCCGTTTTAGTACCTAAATTTTTAATTTTAAAAAAAAATTAACGTTATCTTTTGAATAGGAATACTAAAATGAATCAAAAACTAACTTTTATATATGATTTTGAAAAAATAAAAAAAAATTGAGTACTAAAACAGAACAATAAAAATTAACAACAGTGTCATGAAATTCGGGGCTATTTATTATTTATTTTTCTCTTTTTAATATTTTCAAACTCTCCTCGTACCCGCGCACTAAAGCAAGAATCCGTTGGTTTAAATTAATATTCTAACCCTATTTTTCCATTTTTCAACAAGTTTTTTTTTCTGTCCAAAAAACGTTTATTTCATTAGGACAGATCTTTTCATTTTTCCTTATTTTTCTCTTCAAAGTTTGAATCTTTTATCCATTTTAGATCTACCCTCTTTCGATTGTACGCTTATACATGTACTTTTGAATTCCCAAAGGTCGAGCTTTTTAGTCAGCATTTAACTGGTGAAGACGTTGAGATCCTGTTTTCTAAGTACTAGCATCCGAGGAATAGAAATGCAGTAGTAGAAGAGGAAAACCAAGCATAGAGTTATGGATTCCGTTTGAACCCAACAGTGAGTTTTGTTGTTAAAAAAAGGATAAAAGAGAGGGAAGTGGAAGTGTATATTTTTTTTTTATAAAGGGTTTGCAAAAGGGTTGGCTTTTTTAGTATACGCCACTTGTGTTTTAATAAAAGGGAAGGGAGCGTCAAGGATTGGGAAACTCGGAGCTTTGAGTGAAATAAAAAATATGCAGGAAACAAGGAAGAAGAAGAATGGTGGAGCGGGTGGCAATGAAGATTCCAAGAAGAAGGAGCGTCATATTGTGACGTGGACTCAAGAGGTTTTCTCTTCTTCTTCTTAAATGATTTTCTTCTTCTTCGATGAACCCTCTGTTTTGTTTATTGATTGATTCTTTGTTTTGTTTTTTCGGGGGTTCTCTTGTTACTTTGATGGATTGCAGGAAGATGATATACTTCGTGAACAAATCAGTTTACATGGAACTCAAAAGTGAGACTTTTGTTTCCTTCATTTCAAAGTGTTCGCCATTTTTTTAACCATGAAATGAAATTGAAGGGGTTTGTCTACGTTTTTAATCTTTGAGTGCAGCTGGGCGATCATTGCCTCTAAATTCAAGGACAAAACCACGAGGCAGTGCAGAAGAAGGTTGGTGAAAGTGAAGCCATGATGATTCCAAAAAGTTCATTGATCATCCTTTTGTTTTTGATTCTTTTTGTTAATCTAATCTGATGTCTTTGTCACAATGAAAACGCAGATGGTACACATACTTGAATTCTGATTTCAAGAAAGGAGGATGGTCACCAGAGGAAGATGTGCTTTTATGTGAGGTAATCAATAAGTTTATGCCCTCCATTTTCCTTCAAGTTTAAATGGAGCCACTGTTTTTTTTTCTTCTTCCCATAAGTAAAACTTCAAATGAATTTTTCAACAACTTATTTTCTGGTGATATATTTGGAGGAAATGTTGCTTTAATTGATCAGTTGTATCAGGCTAAGTTGGACTTAGTTTCAGTTGGGAAAAGTGTTTCTGTAGATCCTTGAATGTGGCTTTTGAGCTGATGACTTAAGGTGATTTGCAGGCTCAAAAATATTTGGCAATAGATGGACAGAAATAGCAAAGGTGGTTTCAGGCAGGTATATATATATATATATATATATATATATATATATATAGACATATATTATGTATATGGCTTTTGTGGAAAAAGTAGTATCTTTTCTGCTATCATTTTTCCATTTTCTGTTGTAGATTGTGTTAACTTTTACTGATCATGTCATTAATGCAGAACCGATAACGCCGTTAAGAATCGATTCTCCACACTGTGCAAGAAGAGAGCCAAATATGAAGCCTTAGCCAAAGAGAACAGTAATTCATGTATGAATCCAAATAACAAAAGAACTTTACTCGAAATCGGGTTCAATACAGATGGAACAACTGATTGTACTGCTCCTGTTAAGAGAATGAGGTACCATAACATAATGTACAAATGTATCGACATAGGACTCGTAACTATTGCTCGAGTAGAAACCTTTTCTTTTTTCCATTCCAGGAGATCTCACATTCCCAATCTCGGTGAAAGTTGCAACTTTGGAGATAGAGCACATAGGGTATCTGGGACAATAATCAACCAGCAGCTAAGACATCCATTTGCTGTATTGGGTCAAAATATCCACAATGCTAATAACTTGGTGGTGCAATCACAAGTCAACAAGGTCAATGTGGTCTCTAATGATGGTAAATCACCTGCAAAGACGGATTTTACGATAGTTAATCGTTTTTCACTCTAGCCAAAACCGTATATTCGGTCTTCTATTATTTTGTATCCTTCATAATATAACACATACATTCTTTTTCTTCGTTCTTCATTCGCAGCTCAGAATTATAGAATTCAAGGAACATATCTCAAAAAGGATGATCCTAAGATAACTGCTTTGATGCAGCAAGCAGAGCTGCTCAGCTCACTCGCATTGAAGGTTAATATAGACAATACAGACCAAAGTCTGGAAAATGCTTGGAAGGTGAGATATAATTTGAGTTTCTATATTGTTTTCGGTTAATCAACAATTCAACATACAATACTATCAACATGTAGCTTCTTAATATTGCTAAATCTTAAGTATCGCAGGGCTTATATAGTCCAGTAGGACGTCCCTAACCTTCACCCTAAAAAATATGTATATTCAGGTCCTCCAAGATTTTTTGAATCAGAGTAAAGAAAATGACACCTTGAGATATACAATCTCTGATATCGATTTTCAAATCGAAGATTTCAAAGACTTGCTAGAGGACTTAAGGAGTAGTAATGAGGGAAGTCAAACATCTTGGAGGTAAGAGATAAATCAGTTGATTGAAGTTCAGATTTAGTAAGACTCCTTACACAATACGAACCGACGATTGATATTTTGTAGGCAACCTGATCTCTATGAGGTGTCTCCATCCAGCTCTGAGTATAGCACTGGGTCAACACAGATGCCTCATCCGGCTGGGGAAAGCAGAGAAAAAACTCAATCGAAAATAAATGCACTGCACCCGGATATAATGTCAAATCATATTGGAGAGCAGAGGCGCGGGACTGAGGAGGAAAAAAGGGCTCTTTCCAGTGCAAACACAGATCATGGTAATGAAATTCTAACTCTGGTATAAAGGCCTAGGAATCCCTTGTTTATCACCGTACAATGGTTAAATAACCCGAATGATGTTTCTAACTAAATGTGTTTATGTTTCAACAGTTGAGATAATCACATCCTCTGATGTCCAAACAAACATGATAGTTGCTTCTACCTCATCGAGCGCAGAGTTCAGTTCCCCAGTTCAAGTTAACCCCATTTTCAGATCCCTGGCAGCAGGAATTCCCAGCCCAAAATTTTCAGAAAGTGTAAGTTACCTTCAACTCTTTGGAATACCAACTATAGATCCATTTAGTAGTAGGAGCGGTGGCATCAATAGAATTTGCAGTGGCAGGTAGTAGCTCTTATTATCTTTCTCAATACCGTGGTTCCGTCGGCAGTTTTAGTAGAGTTGTGACCTTATGTAGTTAAAGGACGCAACAATCAATTAACTAATCATTAAAATTTAATTGACAGATGAATATTTTATACTTCAAGCTCATCCGGAAATTTCTGAGTTATTGTCTAGATCTCATCATCTATAAATACAATGGCCTGTCTAAGTTCTAAGAAAAATGCTAAGAAACTAAGTGAAGATCTTGGTCATTGCCTAAGTAAGCTTTGATCATAATGCTCCTTGATAGTTATAAAAAGAAAAAGAGTTAATTGAATCATACTTCATACAAGTTATAGTCTGGATTGTAGTTTTTGTAAGTAATTACTTCAAAAAATATGTTTTAGGATCTTGTTAATGCTCATCATCTTTACCTGTATTGTTTCTTCTTTTCTATAATCTAAACTAGACATGAAAGCATAAACAAGCATATAAGCATGTCATATGAAACTACAATACATACTGACCACCAAGTTTTTGTTTCATTTTCAGGAAAGGAACTTCCTGCTTAAGACACTCGGAATGGAGTCCCCTTCTCCGAATCCGGTAAATAATCCTTCACAGCCACCGCCTTGCAAACGAGCCCTCCTCCATAGTCTATAAAAAACTATGATTTTCTCTTATACAGCAATCATATCAGTCTATAGTCCACATATCTCATCATTTACTCCCATGAGCAACATAGCTCATTTTGAGTTTTCATCCATTTTTTTCAGTCCAAGCATTGCAGCCATCTTGGCCTAGAATTTTACTAGGCCTTTAATGATCTGCATATCTAGAAACCTTGGCTAGAATGTTTTGGTGCATTCTAGCTTCTCATACACATCCAGTAAGATGTCACGAGTCTCATTAATTTTTCCCTCTAATTTCCTAGAGAGTACTACCTTAATACTCACATTAAAACCAGTGTGTGCTTGTTAGTGTGCGTCGATTCTTTCGTTTTTCATCTCATCCGAGTGGTTTCGGGTGCCGTTTATCGCATCTTTCAGCTCCATTTTTTGTTCTTGTCTTGTAATCATGTACAGAACCTACTATATGAAATCCTTAAGAGTGTAAGTAATACATTGGCGAGTTGCCAACATATGATAAAGAACAGATGGGGGGGGGAACAGAAAATGAGGGTTAAGCCCTTGATGTTTTGGGGTGTGCAGAGCCAGCCAGAGGGTACAGAATAAGTTTTTAATTTGTGGTTTTTCTATTCTGATTTCAAATGTAATGGAACTCCATATGATTTGAGTGAAGATGTGTTTTGGCTTTTGGTGTGGAAGTAAGCTCTTGGCTTTCGTATATAAGCTCTTCTCTTTGAATTCATGCACCATGAAATCGGAAGTTACACAGCTGAAAACATCGTGCAGTCAGAGACGAATGCAAGATTTTATATCGAATATATAAAATGTTAGAAAGCGAAAACGGATTATAGGTAGAAAATATCTAAAGCATACGATAATTTGAAATTTTCAAGTGACGCCCGCAGCAGTTGGCGATGCAAAGTGTAAGGCAGCATACTTACAGAGAATGCAGAAGAACATCAATCCTGTCTGGCCAAACATGAAAACCAATCTACCCTTTCATTCACTAGCAGAGACGAGGAGGAAGAAGAGAGTTTTGAAAACTCTGTTATTAAGATGAAAAATGGGGGTTGGAAGGTAGAAGGGATAGTGGTGGACAACCATAATGATGAGCAAAGCAAAAAAAGAAAGGGGAGGGAACCTCATACAAAAATAAAGTGAAGTTCAACTTTTTGTTTTTCAATGGAAGGTGTGGTTTGGACTGCTTTGACCCATCATGCAAATAAATAAAACCAGTATGTATGACATGTATGTATGAGCAACAACAAGCATGAATCATCTCAACATATGTCTCTTGGTAACATATCATGATATGAACATCACACGACACAAAATAGCAGAGTTTGATCATAGGGTCCGGTCCACTAGACCAATGATCCATACAAATGTCCAGTCCACATAGCATCAAGTATTAGAACAGAATGGTGTCCGATCCGCAAAACATTAGACAATAGAGTGGTATGTTGTTTGGTCCAAATAACATCAAACAACCCTCGCATGACTCCCCATATAGTGTTAACCTGGTCCACATAACATGTCTCGGGTGGACACATGTCCACATTGTAATCCACATTGGAATCCGAATTTTTTTTATATTAGTGTTTTATTTAATTATTGGTGTCCACCCTGAAGTTTTATTTATGTCCACCTCATACGAAAAATTCCAATAATTAATGTGTCTGTCAACCTAAAAAAATATTTCTGGATATGTCACTGTATACGATCACTTACCCTACATAATTGTCATCTCTATCCATAATGGCAAAATTGATAATAGATCCCAACATATTCAAAAAAATATTGTAACATTCATTATATTTATCTAAACAATTTCCTATTATGAATTATCCATACTTCCCAATTAATATCTTTCACAGATTTCCCCCCCACTTTGCTGGTTATGTATTCAATCGGGCCATAGGCAAGCCCATGAAAATGATGAAACTTGGATTTCAGGTTGAATAGATAAGTGTAAGAGCAGGTTTTTTTATGGATACGGCAGTCCGAAAATAAAATTTGTAAAATAAAATTGTCAAATATTATTATAGTGTTTAAGGAATTCGTCATGTCGAGTTGACGAATTTATCTAAGTAATATTTTTTATTTAAATTTATCACCTCGAGATGATAAATTTTAATAAAATATAATTTTTATCGCGTCAGAAGTTAAAAAAAATATTTTTATTAAAACCCGTCACGTTAAAATGACGAAATCTATATACCGTAAGACCGGTACTCTACTTTATTGTGAGCCAATAATAGGACCAAAACAATGAGACAGACCAAACCCACCCGAACTTTAAAACATACAAATTCCAAATTCAATGATTAGGAATAAATAAAATTTGATTCCATTTAATCATTTAAATTTTTTGATTTAACATGAAAATATTCGAATCGATTTGATTAATTCGTGATTTCATAAATTTATCTCGATTAAAAATATTTAAACTTGTGCCGAGTTATAAAATAAAACATGAATAATTTAAAATTTTAATAATTAGTAAATTGATTTTTAAGTTTAAGTCAAATCTCCTGACTCCGTATGATATATGTATATTTATTTCACATAATATATATATATATATAACTATTTAAATTGCCATTAAATAGTATTATAATATTAAAAATATTTATAAATAAATTCAAATAAAAACTTAAATAACTCGACTCGATTAAAAAATTTAAATAAAATAAAGACAAAAAGACATCAGAGGTCGCTATACTTTAAAAAAAATCAATGTTACAATCATATTATTTTTTCTCTCAATGTGACCCTTCAACTCAGAAAGTTAGTCTAATGTGGCCCTCTGACTAATGTTTTTTATCGTTGATCGTTACAGTGCTAACGTGACAGTTCATAACGTTAACACGATGGTTTACGGTATACAATGTTGAAGTGACAATCTACAATGGTTGATAATGAGACGTATACATGGCAGATAGGCTAAATTGGTAACGCAAATATGATAGATGGACTGTCATGTTAGTATCATGGACCGCCATGTCAATACCATCAACTGTCACATTAATACGGTAACGGTCAAATGACGAAAAACGTTGATCAAAAGGTCACATTGAGTTTATTTTATGAGTTGGAGGTCACATTAAGAGAAAAAAATAATACGATGACCACATTAATTTTTTTAAAAATACAAAAAATTATGATAACTTTTTATAAAAAATTATAAAATAAAATTCGTTAACCAAATAACTTAAAAAACATTTAATTGACTCAATAAATGTATACCCATCATTGCTCATTACCAATAAGATTTTGACTTCCCACACCAAGCTTTTATCCCTTTGTTTTCCCTCACAATTGACACTTGACAGGATCCCCTCCCTCAAAAACTTCAATCACATACATTGTCCCATCTATTATGAATTATTATTGTTGGGATGTTTAAGGTAGTGCAGATTTAATATAAGATTAAATAAATATGTTATGTAACACCCCAATTTAGGGGTTAAATTTTAGAAATTATAAAGTATTGGATTTAATTGGTATTTTGAAAGAAATGGTGGATTAAATTGTAAAATTTAAAAGTTAGTAGACCGTTTTAAGAAGTACAGGAAATTTAATGGCTAAACTCATAGTTTAACCATTTTTATTTATGAGAAAATTTATAACCCCCTTCCCGTGCTCTGTACCCGGAATGTTTCCCATTTTCCTCCTCTGGTCAACCTACTTTCAACTCCGATCTACTAGTCGTTTGATCTCCGATCGACGAATCGAAACCACCATCGTGTTCCTTGTCGA